GGCCTGGCTGCTGCTTCTGGTGCTCGCCGCGCCCGCCGCCGCCGGGCCGTGGGACCCGCTCCCACTGCAGCCCAGCATGTGAGTCGGGGACCCGCGCCGCGCCGGCTTTGTCCCGGCCCAGAACAATGCGCGCCTCGCCCGGCGGGGCGGTCGGGCCGGGACCCCGCACTCGGTCCCGTGGCCCCTCCCGCGTACCCGTAGTCCGCGACCGCGGGGCGGGCGTGCGTGTGTGAGCAGGCGGCCGTGGAGTTCTTCGGATGTGCGGCACGTGCGCGCCGGGCTGCTGGAGGAGGAATGCGGGGCGGGACCGTCAGGAAGAGAGGGTCAGGGCGCTGCAACATGGATTTAAGTTTGAGCGCTGACTCTAGCTGGCCGTTAGCGGGTTGATCCGCGCCGGCCTCACGGGAAACTGGCGGGAGGTGGAGGAGGGGCGGGAGAAGAGGCCCCGCACCCCAGCGGAGCTCCCCGCTGGTCGCCGGCTGCAGCCCTGCAGAGGCGCGGTGGGAGCAGGAGGGCATAGCCGGGTGCGCTTTCAGGGCACACAGCCGCCACTTGTCAGGCCCCTCCCGTGCAGCCTGGCTCTACCGGTGGGCAAAGGACCCAGCTGCATACCTGGCTGCGGAGGGCCGGGCTGCAGCTCTCTGGGGACCTGCCGCAGGACAGGCACTGCATTGGGGCGGCAGGCCTTGCTGTGATCCCTGTGGCCTTCTGGCTTGGGGCCTTTCATCCAGAGATGTGCAGGCGCGGTCCCATGTCACGTGACCGTTGCTCTGCATTCCACCTTCCTGTGATCCCAGAGTCTGTCCAGAGGAGCCCAAGCCCCAGCGGGGATTAGCGTGGTGGCTGTGGGCCGCTGGGTCGGCCCACTCCCTTTGGCTGCAGGGCCTGACCAGGGCTTCCTGGAGTTCCAGGTTGGCACAGGGTGGACATCACTGCTCTTTGGGGACCTTCTGTCTCTGGTGCTCACTGGACACACTTCCTGGCCCCTTTACCCACCCTCTCCATCTTGCTGCTCTCAGAGATTGGCCGGGGGTCTGTCCTGTACACAGCCTGTCCCTCTGGATTCAGGGAGCCTTTGGAGGAGGGATTACGGGGGAGTGGTCTTTTCCCTCCTGGCACTGTTTCCTTCTCCTCCTCCTCCTCCTCCTCCTCCTCCTCCTCCTCCTCCTCCTC